AGCCCCCTGCCTTCACTAGCAGGACCAAGTACTGATTTTTGCCCCAGATCCCTAAGTGGCCCCCTGAAGGATTGAACTCACAACCCTAGGTTTAGCAGGCCAATGCTCAAACCTCCCCCCCCCCACAATAATGTTGTAACATTATTCAAATATTAATGCTGCAAAAGAAAAATAGAACAAATCATATTAAATCACAAATATTATTTTAAGCTTTCTTTTTTGAAGTGAATTAGTGCTCAGTTCAGATGTTGGCTTTGAAAAGCCTGAAGATGCAATTCTTTATCCACAAAGCAGGATAAATATGGGCAGTGAGCTTCCCCACATTCCCCGGGCAACTGGCTGTGCCTCAGCTGTGTTCTGGAAGGACCACCACTAAGGATGAGTTTAGTCTTCATGTCCATTTATTCTTTGATCTTTCTATCAAGAATGTCAATGAGAGGAGCCACGAAGGCCCAGATCCTCACATGTATTTAGGCTCCTAGCTGCCATTGAAATCAATGGGAGTTAGATGCTTAAATCCCTTTGTGGATCTCATCCTAATACCATACATAACAGTGGTTTGATGTGGGCACCTGACCTGTAGGAACGAGGCTGAGACTGTCAACCATTTTACATAGGTGACTAGACAGTGGAGAGTTGGTAATAATTTGCAATCACAATAATAAAGCTATTATTTTGAATTTAGCTCATGTCACTTCAAAACAAGGCTTACATGCAAAAATTTGTCACATCAAATTGAAAGAAAAAATGGGGAAGCAGAATGGTTCACAGAGGATAACATCTACTGAAGGAAGAGGAAACAGATTGGCAGCTGCTCCACATATCCTTGCTTATTAGCCCTGACCTTTCGCTGGCAATAACTCAACCCATAGCATCTCCCCCAAAAGATCCTACTAGAGCAAAGGATGGCAGCCCATACACCTCATGTCCTTTTTTCCATTTTAAGTCAAATTCAGTCTGATACCACTTTGGTTACACTGGTTGCAATGAGCTGAATGTTTCTAATGTAACAAATGACTGTGGTTTCATGAGAGGTTAAGCAGCAAGAAAAGTTGACCCAGAGCAATAGTTATCCTGTTTTATACAAATGCATCTAGTAAAAAACACAGAGAAACAAATACTGAAAATACTATATTGTCTCAAAATCCAAACTTGTCTCAAAATCCAATACTTTTCAAAATTCTCAATGAAGCATTAGTGGGTTTTTAAGGTAGACATACAAAGCGCAATCAGGTTTAAAATACTAGTATACAAAGATAAGGATTTCTATATTAAATCCTGGGCCTAAGTTTCATATTATATAGAGACACTATGACCCTACTGTACAACATAATTATGGTAAATTTTAGCACATTAGAGAGCAGTATACTGGAAACATGTAATTTATCAAATTGTTTTATGCATAATACTATCCGAAAATATCTACTCATGTTAACCTATGCTAATAAAAAGTGTTGCTTCTCACCAAAAAAAAAATGCCTCAAACCTTTAACAGAAACTTCCTTTAGGTTCAACAAGTGAGTCTGATTTGTAGGGGCTGTCTTTTTAGACTGCAAGTTTCTCAGGGCAGGTATCATTGCCATCTGTGTCTTGTTCAGCATGGAATCCATTGCACTAGATAACAGATCTAATGTTCTCATTGTTGTCTTTAAGATGCATCTTTTCTGATGTTCAGTGTGAGAGAGAACCTCCTGCTTCACCCACAATGGGTAGAGAGAATAGTGTTGCTTCCTGGACCTTTGCTTGTACATTCTTGACAAAAGGAAGGGTGTAGTGTGTCTCCTAAAATATACAGAACGTATCTTTACCCATTCCTGGTTCCTGAGGAAGGAGCAGATTGGGTGAAGGGAAAAGAGGATCTTTTTATGTCCCAGAAGGCCTCCTGGAAGGCAGAGGTCAGCAGGCTGATAGATGGGTTTAATTGGGATGAAAAAGGAATTCTGAGCCTCCCGGTGTGCACCTTCTCCTCCTGTTTTGGTCCTGTGAACCAGTGGACAGTTTGCCTGGTTAGAGATGGTGGTCGCAACAGAAGAAAGACACTTCTTTGGGATAGGGGATGAGTTCAGGCAATAGACAGAGCAAATGAAGCTAGTCATGAAAGGGACTATGCCAAATCCACAGGTCCTGTGTCACTGTCTCTCTCTCTTTAAAGGTGTTACCATCATGATGATCTACATAGTAGTAGAGATCTCTTTCACCCATAAGATAGAGACAGACTGGTACAGGGGAATAGAGTGCAAACTACCAAGAAGCGCAGAGCTAGCTGTATTCAAGGAAATGAGGAACAGTTCATTCCAGACTGGCAGGTTCCTTCTCGCAAAAAAGAGCTTTGTGAAGAGATTCTGTATGGTGGTAGGGATGGAATTCTTCTCTCACAAACTGCAAAGTACTAGTGGACCTGCTCAACAGCAGCTTCAGGATAGCAGCAGCAAACACAGCTTCTGTTTTGATCCTCCATGGGATGAAAGATGTTTGACCAGTAGATTCTCAGAGTGATGAATCTACTACTGGCCATATTTTCTCCCCCCTAGCCGTAGAGCAATAGGGTAACGACCCTCTCATTCCCCACAAAGTGGAACCACAACATTTCTTCCCATTTGGTCTTCCCCAGTTCTTTTCCATGATTGGACCCCAAGGTAACACAATTATTACAATTTAATTTAACAAGTGTGGCTAGTTTTAGAAGTAATTACTGAAATCGTTAAGCTCTTAGGATTCTGATTAAAAGAAACCCAATGAGGCAAGATTTTATGCAGCTGTTCTCCCTCTCTACACTTCATCTATAAAGAGAAATATCAATTCTGGCAAATAGGTAGAAATTTAGACACAAACAAAGATGTGCAAATTAATAGTTTCCCTCTTCACCCTTAGTGACACAATCAATGAGAATTTAAATTAAATACAATTTAAAAGCTTAAATTTTATATTTTTCACAGCAGAACAAGATGACAGCATTTCAGATAAGATGTATATTTAAAGAAAAACTAAGTAGCTCAAAACCCTAAGAGTGTGTTTCAATTAACTTGAGAACCTTAAAAAGGTCAAATGGGTGTAACATTTCTCTTAAAAATTGTAAAATGTATGGCAGAGTTGAGGTGTATCTTTAATGATTTCCACCTTATAAAAGAACATATGATGCATATGCTCTCATGACAACTAACACAAGTACACAGATGGCTTCAACATTTTCAACTCAATGGTAAAGTTACTGAGGTCCTAAAACCAACCACCTTCCTTATGAAAATGTTTAAAGTATTTAATATGGTATTTATATGTGCATTAAAATATGAACACTTTTTGCATGCTAATATGGAGCTGGAGTATATCTGAAAGCAAAGTTCTCTTAATGTTTGGAAAAGAGTAGCAATGAATACACATACCAAAACGACAAACCTTATGTATTAGCAGCAAACGCCACATTTTATCTTACTTTAGTAGATTTAAAGATCCTGCAGAAGTTATCAGAATGGTTACCCTTTAAGAGGTCTATACTGAGTTATTTATGTACTAAAACCCAATGGTCCTGGGGGTCATGGGATCACACAGTCGTGGTTTTGCAACTTTACAACAGTTAATGTTTCTGATTGTAGGGACACACTTAACTTAAATATCACATCTCTGCTATTGTTATAGAAATCATACATGTCAAACTGACAGACTAGAAGACAAATATAGTATTTTCTATGTTTTCCAGTTTGTTTAGTTTGAGCATTTTACAGAAGTTTGCATCATCACTTGGTTGCATGGATCTTTCACACACAGTAAGGTCAGAAATACGTTCTGGAATAGCTATTCATCTTTAAATTAACACCCTAATTCATTCCAGAGTAGCAGTCATGTAGACAGGCCCTGAAGCACACTGGCAAAGTAGCATGGGAAGTCTGAACAACTGTTGACCAGGTTGATCTCAATTTGTGGATAAAGAGGAATTCCAGGTGTTTTCCAGTCCCCAGGTGTAGTGAAATAATGTTTTACAATGGAAATGCTGACTGTTAACTATTATGATGCAAGTGTGACACTATAATAGCAATTCCTAGATTGTTCTCAGTAGCTAGCTGGTTGAAAAGCTTTACCAGGCTCTATATCCAATTTCAATGTTTCAGAAATACTCTAAAATAAAAATCTGCTGAACAGCTTTTAATAAGATGATCAATAATAAAATCCTAAGAGGTAACATCAATTAAAATTGAGATTGTAGCCTATTTGTGCTTTTTTATGATGTATAAGGAAGGCCTGAAAGTGGTTTTTTGCTTTTTACCTTAGAAATATCAGGAATGCCAAGTCTGGTGTCCCCTCTTTTAGCTGGAAGACTTCTTGGAGATATAAAAATGTGCTTCAGCCATTAACTGAAGAGTAAGGGTATCAAATTGTAAACAAAGATGTCCTTTTCCCCAGGTATTTCTCAATTATTTAAGTTAAATATGTGTTAGCAAACCCCAAAAGTTTTAAACAGTCTGAAAAAAAATCACTTCCCTTTAATGAATTAGGTTCCACTTTATCAGAAAGTGTGATAACATAATCCAACGAGATCTCCAGTCACCGCAGAGTGTTCCAGACACACACTGAAATTTGAATGTAAGGGACAAGCAGAAATAGATCCTTTAGACAGAACAGAAATAAAACAAAAATCAAATCAGACCTTCCTTATACTTCATAATGAAGCAAAAAAAGACTGATAACCTCCCCTGAGCCTTTACATGTTATCTTTAAAAGATTCCTATGTGCAGAAGTAAGACTAGACTAATCACCTACTTCAGTACTTTGGAAGGCATAAAATATACCACTACATCTATACTAAACAAATCTAATTCTAGTTATAATTATAAACATAAAAACATTCTTTTTTAAAGAAAAATAAAGATAAAAATTCATATGCACCCTGAGGAGTGAAATTTCACAACAAAAACGATACTTATTTGAAAACATCAATATCTGTAAACACCCATAATCTGAACTTGAGTTCTCCTGTAACTGGGACATAAATGTTTAATTCTCATTTACAATGAATACACTGTAAATACATTACATTAAAATAAGTTTACATTATACATTGGACATTATTCAATACATTGTAAATACATTATATTAAAATAAGTTTAAAGTAAAAACTTTGTTGAAAGAAGTGAGCACTCCCAAAATAAAATGAGATCTTGCACAGAATGACTCTAGGGCAGACATCTGTCAGTTGAAAAGATGTGTAGACTGAAACATGTCTAAGTAGCTCCAGTACCCTGAAAGACAAATAGAATGGAGGAACCTAGCTGAAAATCACATGATGATATCTGTGTGTGAATGACAGACATCTGTGCACTTTTCTTTGGATTTGGGATTTTCTACAAGATTCTGTACAATTTAAATCAGAATAGAGGTTTATAAAAACAGAAAAATGGTCTTTAGTTGTTTCACGAAATGATTTATAAAACATTGGCATTGGTGTGGAGAGTTCAGAAATGCTAATTTAGGTCCATGGAGGTCACTGGTTCATTGATGCTTTGAGGCACTTCTCTTCCAGTGGACAGGTATTTACTGCATCAGTTTACATTTTCTTTGCTGATGATCTTCTGTATAGGGATGGCCTTCTTCCACGCAAAATGTTATGCCTATTTTTCCAATGGACAGGAAGAAACATTGTACAGCATCTGCTATAAAGGTGGCAATAATGGAGCTGATCCCAAATGAGAGATCATGTCTGGGGGTCTGTGTTCACTAGTAGTGTCTAAAGAGACAGAAGTTATGCAAATATGAGTACATGCTGTAAATACCAATTCACAATAGCATTGGTGCCATCACGGAGGAAAGAATGTCTCATTCAGAGAAGTGCAAAAAGTAGAAGAAAACCATTCATCCACTACCATCATCATCATCTCTCTCCTCCAAAGAATTAACAGCAGCTAAGAGGGTTTAGATTATCAAAGATATTGTCTCTTTTGGTGAAAAAAACCCATCCCATCTCAGAATAAATTAGTACGTAGCCCAGGGGTCTGCAACCTTTCAGAAGTGGTGTGCCGAGTCTTCATTTATTCACTCTAATTTAAGGTTTCGCATGCCAGTAATACATTTTAACGTTTTTAGAAGGTCTCTTTCTATAAGTCTATAATATGTAACTAAACTATTGTTGTATGTAAAGTAAATAAGGTTTTTAAAATGTTTAAGAAGCTTCATTTAAAATTAAATTAAAATGCAGAACCCCGTGGACTAGTGGCCAGGACCCGGGCAATGTTAGTGCCACTGAAAATCAGCTCGCGTGCCGCCTTCGGCACGTGTTCCATAGGTTATCTACCCCTGACGTAGTCAAATCACATTGCCTTTGGTTTAGAAACTCAACATTTTCATCATGATTTTACTGAACACCAAATATTTGTTTTTAAACTTGATAGTAGGTATGTATCCAACAAAGGAAGAGTTTCTAATACATTATCCTGAGTAACACTATTATTGTACTTCATATGAAAGGCAGATGTACCACAAGTCAACACACCTTGACATAACAGAAATTTGAAAGAAAATTGCTTTTGGGTTTTCTATGTGTTATCAGTTATGACAAGAAGTATCTGACACAAATTTTATATCCAGTACAGGAGGAAGCAGGTAATTTTCTTTCTTTTTAGTTTCTGCTATAAACTCATATGGTGGGTTTTTGTATTTATCTGTTTAAGCTGGACTGTAAAACATTGCCACATTTCATCCATTTGAAGGGGGAAAAAAAACTCTTAGCAGACACATCAGAGTTTTAAAATAGATACCAGTCACTGTCAACAAAAGGAGAGAAAAAAGTGGCTTTTCAAACTAGTCTGATTTTACACCAGCTTAAACAATTTTTCAAACAGCACATTACACACCAGATCACAAGGTCTTATGCCACAGGCCAAAACTAAAACACTACAACCTATAAGACAGAGAAACTCCCATCATTTCTCTATTGCTAAATGTTAGAACTTCACTTTCCCCTGGATTTTAATGTATCTCATTGTATAAAATTTTCTTTAAAAGGGCATCAAGAATATGTTTTTTTCATCTTCTCTAATTTAGGCCACATATGTGGCTATTTAAACACATGCAGTGCCATCAATTAACAAAGGGAAAACAAATACTAGGTACAGGAGCACCAAATACATAGTATGTACTCATTTCATGAATATCGTTCCCTCCATTTTATGGAAGATTTTAATTTCTTTTTTGAAGAAAAATGTAATCACAAATTCACAGGAAACAACACTGTCAAATGAATTCCATAGCGGCATACGTAGTGAGTCACTGAGTGAAACTCTTTTTTATGAACACATTAGGAAAGCTGGCATTCAGTTCTAGGACAACTCTATTATCAATTTGTGAACAGAAGGACACATCAAGTAAAGAAAGATCTTTACAAGACTCCAGCAATTTTCTTAAAGATGCAGGGCTTACCATCCTTGTCCCTGTTTAAAAACAAAAAAGAAAAGCTCACTTTAACTTTTTTATGTGAATTGAACCTTTGTTAAAGCTGCCAATTTATGTTGTAGCAAGAAATCTTCTACTCCTTATTCCTCATTAAAAGTTTATTTCACTACATTTATTTTGACTACCTTTCAAATGAAGGGCTCTTTTCAGGGAAAGTTTTTGCACACTTTTGACCACAGAAAGTCTGTGGGATTGCCATGGCTTAACTTGTGTAGAAAAAAATCCACAGTTTTCTTCTTGTTCCGGAAAAACTCCAAGATTTCAATGGGAACTTTTTCTGAGTAGTGACTGCAGGATCTGACTCTACATTGCAAAAGCAAGATGGCTCTCCCCCCCACCGCAATCTGCCTGGATTCTGTGCTCTGATGCCATCACTTTCGAATGAGTTTGTAGCAAAAGATCATGCCAAATCCATGTATTTACATTGTGGACACCATTCACTGACTGTAATATAATGCTGCAACAAATGCATGCTACTAAGGGCCAGTCTAATGCTAACTGAAGTCATTGGAATTTATTGGCTTTAGTGGGTGCTGGATTCGGATAATAAAGAATATTAACACACATCAGGATTCTTAAAGAACTGTGAACTTTTCCTACATACAATGAACTGTAATAGAAATACATTTCTTACGGCTAAAAAAGTCATCTTAGTGAATAAGCTCCACCAACAGATGACTGTGGGATGAGAGATATGACATCTTCTATGTTTTTAACATTACCTGTGCTGTGTACAATTAGGAATGTTTCTCAAAAAATTAAAAACATTAAAAGGATATGTACAGCACACCTTTTCTCCTCTGTCCCTCATAGTAGGGACGTCTTATCATGATATTTACCTTTACAGGTTGGTATGAGATTTTGACAGGAAGGTGGATTTGAACATGGGATTTTAGTTTGGGCCCATCTCTATTTACTAGAGTTTTGTTACTTCGATTAAGTGCCCATTGCTTAGTACAAATGCACAGCAGGTGTCTTAAAAATCTGTCATTTTACTTTGTTGTTCAATTTGTTCCCTGGCAAAATTCTCTGGCACTGGCTCAATAGAGTGCCTGAGAGCAATAATTGTTCAGTTGGACAATTTTGTTCCTTAGCTGTAAATCAGCATTCCCCTATATGTGCTCATGTATCCGATCCACCTATCCTGGCACTGTTGGGAAGACCCATGCATGGTAGTTGTCAAAGAGGCAATTCAAGAAAATTATTGAAGCCCAAAATTCTATGGCAGGGGACACTTCAACACACTCCCACAAAATGTTTCAAAAGTTTAATTGAAAACATCTGCCTCTATTTAATACATAAAACAACAAAGATAAATTAGCAATAATTTTAGAGAGCACAAAACTAAGAAGACCAATTAATGTACAAAGATTCCTGTGTCCTATGCAACATATTAGACTTAAGTTATGTAGCAGAGACCCTGGAATTATCTGGCACTGCTCCCACAAATGCTCTCACCTCACTCCCCAGACCACTCCAATTTGCACAGTATTCCTTGTTATTTATTTTACATTCAATTCAATTTATTTTACACTGCTCTCAAATTTAAATTTGCTGCAAATTTTTGTATTTTAAGTGATTAACTATATGTTGAAGTTGTCAGGGGAAAGCTGAAGATTTTGACAGCTGGGTAGGGGACAGTTGGGGCTTTTGGCACACAGGAAGGCGTGGGAGGTGTTTTGGTAACTAGGAGGGAGTTGATTATTTTGGCACTAAAGAGGGTATTCAGCTTTTCTTTATCACCCCTTTTTGCGCAGGGCAAAGGTGGCTGTAAATTTTAGGGAGCAGGATTTGCCAGGAACCTTTGGTAGTAAATAGTTGCCCCAGTGCATCCTGCGTCAGTATCTGACAATACCTACAACAATGAAAAATAAACATACTAGTTTGAGGCTTCTGTTAAAACAATCAGCAATGTTGACATTCAAACTGTTGACTGACTTCAGAGTTAACAATGAGATGAATGAGAGCCATTCCCATCTCTCAGAGTTATCATTTCAGGCTGTTGGCAGATTCAGGCAGACAACACTGTATTGCTGCGACCGAATGTATCCCTGTAGTCAGACACTACACACTACTGTAATAATCTTTACACAAAATTTGCTGTGTGAGGTATCATCTGAAAACCAGTAACTCGCTGGTCAATAATATCATGGTGAAATGTGTGTAGCACCATTTATATGTAAAGTTACGAAATCCCCCTGTATGATGTTCTTATCACGTGCTCAAAACCACACAGCCCTGCCAGAGCAGAAGTATCCTGAATAAATAAATGTGTATTTACCTAAATTTGCATATAAGAAGTAAACAAGGTCCTAAAGAGATAGCAGGGAGAGGAGATGGCAAAAGACAAAGCAAATTTGCATTTCAGCAAACACAGGTGAGAAGAAAGAACATGGAGCCTCATTCTCCACCTCATCTCCATGTTGCCTTCTTTACTGTTTGAATAAACTTTGCTTTGAGGGGTAACCCTCAGAAGAATCCACTTCAAAGTTAACTGGGCTATAAAAGAAAAGAAGAAAAAACCCCAAGCGCTCTCTCTCTCTTTCATCTAAGACGACAAAGGAACCAGTCTTTTGACTTTGGGGAAAGATTCTGACCTGAGAATTTGGCTAGCCACGCAGCTGGGAACATGCCATAAGGATTTTTACCTTGAACCAAGTCTAGCTTGTTAAGTTTTAGCTACTAGAAAGCATTTTATCTTTTTTTTTGTTTTGGTAATCATTTATGACCCTATACTTCTGCTCGCTTGAAAACTATATCTATCTATCTATCTATATAACTATATCTTTGTAGTTAAATAAACTTTTTTTTTTTTAATCTAAACCAGGAATCGGCAACCTTTGTCATGCGGCCTGCCAGGGTAAGCCTCCTGGCAGGCCGGGCTGGTTTGTTTACTTGCCACGTCTGCAGGTTTGCCCAATCACGGCTCCCACTGGCCGCGGTTCACCGCTCCAGGCCAATGGGGGCTGTGGGAAGCAGCGGCCAGCACATCCTTCATCCTGCGCCACTTCCCGCAGCCCCCATTGGCCTGGAGCGGCGAACTGCGACCAGTGGGAGCCGCGATCGGCCGAACCTGCAGATGCGGAAGGTAAACAAACTGACCCGGCCTGCCGTGGCCTTACCCTGGCGGGCCGCGGGCCAAAGGTTGCCGATCCCTGATCTA